TTTATTCTTTTATTTCGTCAAAAATATTAACTAATGTATTATAATGTTGATTAGGTCACTCTGCTAACTGAAGATCTAAGTCTGCTTTCTGATACATCTGTTAATAAATTTTTGGTTTGTTTTTGTTGTTGGTCCTGGTGGTGCTGGTTTGGTTTTGTTTTTTGCTGTTTGATGGTTTTTAAATTGTGAGCACATCCTTCTTTAGTGGGTTTTACTGGTGTTATTCTGTTCAGACTGGATGGAGTCTGTATGCAGAGCATGTCCTTCAAAACCTTCAAATAGTTTTGTTTATTTCTGCCAGCTGCCTTCTATATTACTAGCTCAGGGTGATTTTTTCCTGAGGAGGGGAGTGGAATAGTGTTACAATTTTATTCTTTGCCTGTACTATCCAGTTGGTTTACCACCATTTCTTTAAAAAACAATTCTTTTCTATCTAATTTTCTTGGCACCCAAAGCACTGTACTCGCTCTAAACTATCAATTATTTTAACTTTTATTTTTGGTTCAGGGAGTACGTATGTAGGTTTGTCACATGGGTAAATTGCATGTCACTAGAGTTTTGTGTACAAATGTTTTTGTCACTAAGATAGTGAGTACAGTACTCGATAGGTAGTTTTTCAATCCTCACCCTCTCCCCACCCTTCCCCATCAAGTTGACCCTGGTATCCATTGTTCCCAACTTTGTGTCCCTGTGTACTCAGTGTTTAACTTCCACTTTGAGAAGACGCGGTATTTGATTTTCTGTTTCTGTGTTAATTTGCTTAGGATAATGACATCCAGCTGCATCCAGTTGCCACAAAACACATGATTTCATTTTTTATGGCTGCATAGTATTCCATGGTGTATATATACCATGTTTTCTTTTCCAGGCTAACATTAATGGGCATTGAGGTTGAGTCCATGTCTTTGCTATTGTGAGTAGTGCGATGAACATATCCATGCATGTGTCTTTTTGATAGAACAATTTACATTCCTTTGGGTATATATTTATATTCCTTTTGGGTACATCTAATATTTATATTCCTTTTGGTAATTTATATTCCTTTTGGGTATAAAGGAATATAAGCTGAGTCCAATGGTAGCTGTTTTAAGTTCTTTGAGAAATCTCTCAAAGAACTGCTTTTCACAGTGGCTGAACTAATTTACATTTCCACCAGTAGTGAATATGTGTCCCCTTCTCTCCAAAACCTTGCCAATATCTGTTTTTTTTTTTTTTAACGTTTTCATTATAGCCATTCTACTGGTGTGAGGTGGTATCTCACTGTGGTTTTGATTTACATTTCTCTAACGATTAGTGATGTTGCTTGTTGGCAGTGTATGTGACTTCTTTTGAGAGGTATCTATTCTTGTTCCTTGCCTGTTTTTTAATGGAATTGTTTTTTGCTTGCTGATTTTAAGTTCTTAGAGATTCTGGATATTTCACCTTTGTTGGATGCATAGTTTGCAAATATTTTCTCTCATTCTGTAGATTGTCTATTTACTCTATTGGTGATTTCTTTTGCTGTGCAGAACCTCTTTAGTTTAATGAGGTCCCACTTGTCTATTTTTGTTGTCGTTGCAATTGCTTTTGGAGACATCATCATGAAATCTTTGCCAAAGCCTATGTCTAGAACAATATTTCCTAGGTTTTCTTTTAGGGTTTTTATAGTTTTAGATTTTGCATTTAAGTCTTTAATCCTTCATGAGTTGATTTTTGTATATGGTGTAAGGAAAAAGTCTGATTTCAATCTTCTGCATGTGACTAGCCAGTTATATTATTATTATTTAATAATAATCTTCAATACCATTTATTGAATAGGAAGTCCTTTTCCCATTGCTTATTGTCAACTTTGTCAAAAATTAGGTGGTTATAGGTGCCTGGTTTTAATTTCTGGTTTCTCTAACCTGTTTCATTGGTCTATATGTCTGGTTTTCTTTTTTTTTTTGAGATAGAGTCTCACTCTGTTGCCCATGCTGGAGTGCAGTGTTGCGACCTCAGCTTACTGCAGCCTCCGTCTGTCTCCCAGGTTCAAGTGATTCTCTTGTCTCAGCCTCCCAAGTAGCTGTGATTACAGGCACAGGCCACCATTTTTTTTTTTTTTTTTTTTCCATTACTGTGCTATTTTGGTTACTGTAGCCTTGTAGTGTAGTTTGAAGTCTGGTAGTGATGCCTCTAGCTTCGTTTTTTGGGTTTTTCTTTTGTTTGTCTTGCTCTGTTACCAGGCTGGTGTGATCTTGGCTCACTGCAACCTCCGCCACCCAGGTTCAAGCGATTCTCCTGTTTCAGTCTCCTGAGTAGTAGCTGGGACTACAGGCATGTGCCACCACATCTAACTGCAGCTAACTTTTGTATTTTTAGTAGAGACAGGGTTTCACAATGTTGACCAGGATGGTCTCGATCCCTTGACCCCATGGACCACCGGCCTCAGTCTCCCAAAGTGCTGGGATTACAGGCGTGAACCACCGTGCCCAGCCTAGCTTTGTACTTTTAGCTTAGGATTGCTTTGGCTGTTTGGTCTATTTTTGTTCCATGTTAATTTTAGAATAGTTTTTTCTAATTCTTTGCAGAATGATGTTGCTAGTTTCATAACAATAGCATTGAATCTCTAAATTATTTTAGGCAGTATGGCCATTTTACAATGTGTAGTCTTCCTGTCCATGAGCTTGAAATGTTTTTCTATTTGTTTGTTTGTTTCTCTGATTTCTTTCAGCAGTGTTTTGTAATTCTTGTAGAGAACTTTGCCCTCCCTGGTTAGCTGTATTCCTAGGGATTTTATTTTTTTGATGTCTATTGTGAATGGAATTGTGTTATTGATTTAGCCCTCAGCTTGGACATTATTGGTGTATAGGAATTCTACTGATTTTTGTACATTGATTTTGTATCCTGACGTTTTACTGAAGTTGTTTCTCAGATCTATTTCTATGAGCCTTTGGGCAGAGATTGGGGGGTTTTCTAAACATAGAATCATATCATCTGTGAAGAGAGATGGTTTTACTTTTAGGATAAATTTTGATGCTAATTTCTCAAGCTGGGGATTTACAGACAGGGAAACAATAAAATTTGAACCCCAAATCCATATTTGGTACAGACTTTGGTCCAAAATTCCCAAGAAAGAGTTTTTCCCTTTTAAAAGGTTTAATAGTTTCATGGATGAAAAATTTATTTTCCACTACCATGCCAAACAACACTTTAATATATTCCTCTCTGCAAATAACTACAATGTACAGTTATTATAGTTCCCATTCAAATTCTGGGAGGTTTAAATAGCTGGACTTACAAAAATGTAGTGTCTTAGAACCTGCTATACCCCCACTAAGAGCAAATATTTTAACAGCAAGGGGGCCACATTTTACCCCCTTAAGAGATAAAAGTACCAAACTCTTAATGACCAGCTTCATGTGGTGAAGAGTGTGTTGATGTGTATTGATAGTTGTGCTGATGCAAGAGCTTGAAGCAAATATCTTCTCCTGAAATTGAGAAGCAAGAGCTCATCATATTCCTGTGTGACAACCAATAAAAATGCTCCACTCCTACATTACAAGGAAAAACTCATTGTTTTTTCAGAATAGAGTCAGATTGTTCTGTCCTATGATATGTGCCTACTTTAGGTTTGTCAAGTTTGGTGCATCCTAGGCCCATGCTAGGTCTTCTTGCGCTTTTGACATTAGCAGCACACAAATTTTAGACAGAATGTAGTGAATTTGGGGTCAGACAGGCCATATTCCTAGCCAAGTTGCTCTCAAAAGTGACTGATAAAACACAATAGAAATTTCAAGCTCAAGAGAGCTTGTTGTCAAAGAAAGATTGAGATTTTGATTATGGCTTAGACATTGATTGATTACCTCTTGGGGATATCACCCCCATACCAATAGCCAAAAATGCTTGGCATTAGGATTACAGTAGTTGTAGATAAAGCCTCAATAGAGGTTTGAGTTTCCTTCTTTCCATAAGGCTGATTGGTGTTTCTGAAATAATGCAATGCTCACAATCTTAGGTTTTACAACTTCTCTGTTTTGCATTTATATTATCTGTATGTGTTGTATTTTTATAGTTTTTTTTTTTTTGTACAAAGGCAAAAGTTGCCAAAACAAATTTAAGGGCTTTTGGGTTGACCTTTGTTATTTTTAGCAGGTAACTTATGAAAGTTGACAGAAAAATTTTATATTTCTATGTGGTCACAGATGGTATTAACCATCCTATAAATATTTCTCACACACTGACCATGTGTCAAAAACTCACTGAGGAAAGAGGAAGATGTACAGTAATCATAGCCACTTTTCTTGCTAGACATCTACCAGGCATAGAAGTAAAGGAGATTTAGTGTTTCCCTTCTATAAATATGAAAAATTATAACAGAATGCAAGGTTACAAATGCCCCACTGGACAGTATCCTAGATGACTTTCTAATAGCAGGGCTTCCTGAGTGTAACACCCAAATATCTTTCCACTTCTTTCCATCACCAACATATGGCTATAATAACCACATAGTTACCTTTGCAAAATAAGATAAATAAAAATATTTTATAATGTTGGCCTGGTGCGGCAGTTCACACCTGTAATCACAGCACTTTGGGACGCTGAGGTAGGCAGATCACTTGAGCCCAGGAGTTCGAGATTAGCCTGGGCAACATGATGAAACTCCATCTCTACACCCAAAAATTATATACATTTGGATGGGTCGTTTGCAAAAAAGTAGGGAAGTGTACTCTTGCAAACCAGGACAACCTTGATAGTCAGTCCTCTTATAGAAAGTGGTAAGCTCTACAAAGGAGCAAGTAATGTTTGCAAATGCAGACCTTACATGCAAACCACTTTGCTAGCCAGGTATACTCTGGAGGAAACTAATTGATGTAGATGCAATGGGATATGTAATACTGCTTGATCAAGGCTTTGCTTCTGTGGTTGTTTCTCCATGTCTTGCAAAAGAGATTTGCAAAACACTATATTCAGAAACATCAGCTGGACATGGTTGAATACACCAAGTCTTGGTTAATGAATAAACTTGTCTTAAATTGGCTTATTGCTGGTCTCTCAAGGCTTCCTATTTTTGTTCACTTTAGTCTCTCAAAAACTTCAGAGAAAAACTATAAGTCTCAAAATGCTTATAAGCAGGAACAAGCTGACTTTACTACTAGGAATAATCTGTTTTCAACAAGGTAAATCTGCAACTCTTTCACTCCCCAAAGGTAAGTTTCAAATGAACTCTATAATTATTTTTGTCTGAACCTTTGCTGGGAATGTACATCGCAACTCCACTCCATGTTCCTTTGGGAAAATAGAAGCAAATATATTTTGGAGATCTAATTGTTTTTAAACAATTATTTTGGATTTATCTCCTGCAATCAGCATAGGACATGGGGCAAAACATTTATAGAATGTAACTAATGCTTCCAATTAAGTGAACAATCCCTGTTTTCTTCACTTAGTTTCACTAAGTGAACTGAGATTGTTCACTCACTTGGACCCATTACATAATCCCATCTTCATTCATAGAGCAAAGTCTGGAAATCAGCATGGATTTGGAAGCATTTTTAATCTTTTGCAAAATCATCTTGCTGAGAAATATAAAGCATTTTCACTGTAGTATATTGTAAATGGTCTTTTTCCCCCTTCAATTCACTTAAGCTGAAAACAGTTCTTGGCAGAGTTCTCCATGGTCAGACTTGTGCCAGCCCTGAGAAACAACATGTTTTCTGACTTTGCTTCAGTGAATTTGGGAAATGGTAAATTTTGTATTTAAAGTATTTATGACTCATTCAACTAAAACAGTTAGAAAACAAGCTTTTAATCCAGTGTCATCCTGGCACTAGGTTCAGGATTAAAACACTTATTGTTATATCCATGCTCTGCCATTATTCAGCTGTGCTTCTTCATCTCTTTGATTCTTAGTTTTCTCATCTGCAATGTGGGGTTAACAGTGCTTCATTATTAGGCATAGAGTAGGATTAAATAAGAAGCTGTATGAAAGAGCTTTGAATATTTTAACATGTTGATCTAAATAGCTATGCTCTTAAAGATATGTTCTCAAGAAAAATCATTTGTTCATCCATCCAGCATTTCTAAGTGCTTACTTATGCCAAGAATTGTGCTAAACCTTAAAAATACAGAGGTAAATAAGACAAATTTTTTCCCTCGAGTAGTTCATAGTTCAATGATGGAGGCAAATAATTCATTATCACAATTCTTCATGGCAAGAACTATAAAAGGGGCAAAGAAAGAGTGCTACACAACACAGGAGAGAGGCAAACCCAGTTTGAGGAAATCAAGGAAGACTTCCTGGTTGAAGTGATCTCCAAGCTGAGGAACAAGAATTACAAAATCTAGGTAGGCAATGAAGCATGGTGATTATGAGGCAAGCCTAGTTCTAATCCTCCTTTGAAATATGGAAAAGGATGACCTCCACGAGGGACAGAAGATGTGCTATCCCTGAGATGCCAGGTGGTGGTAAACATCTTTAATCTAGCCTATCTCTTGGCTGAGGAGTCAGAAAATGCATTGAGGGCAAAGAAATGAAAACAACTTTTTCAGGGATAAAGTCTTTTACATAAAAAGGAAGGATTTTGTTTCTTCTGTTACCTGGCAACCCCCTAACTGAGCACTGACTTGTGAATCAGGACACTTCACTCTACTCTCCTTAAACAACCTATCACTTTCCATCCTGCAGGAGAATTAAATCCAATAAAGATTTATTGATATCTGACTGTGCGCTAGGCACCATAGACTATGGTCTCAGACTCCATTTCATGGATGAAATAGAGAAGATATGCCCTCAATCCTAGAAGACATCTAATCATTTAATGTTTGTCTCATTTTTTTCTCAGCTCCCAATTGTGGGCAGAGTCTGGTTAACGTAGAGCCTTGGAATTACTTTAACATTTTCAGTCGCATTCTTGGAGGAAGCCAAGTGGAGAAGGGTTCCTATCCATGGCAGGTGAGTCTCAGGGACTCCTATGCATCAGAAACTGTGCTAGATATTATGGGTATAGATATTTCTAAGGTTAAGTTTACATCTTTGAGGAGCCTACAGCCTAGCTGGGTTGAAAGACACAGAATAGTCATAATGGCATGTGATGAATGTCATAAGAAAAAATTATTTACTTGTACTTAGTAAGTCATTTTAAAATCAAATAGGATAAGCAAAAATTAGAAAGTATATTGGAGAGGTAGAATAAAGAATAGGCTTGAAGAGCCGGGCGCGGTGGCTCAAGCCTATAATCCCAGCACTTTGGGAGGCCGAGGCGGGTGGATCACAAGGTCAAGAGATCGAGACCATCCTGGTCAACACGGTGAAACCCCGTCTCTACTAAAAATAC